TGGCGGGCGAGTGTGCAGCTGAACGCCTCGAGTCGTCCCCATCGCCCAGGTCACGTCTCCGCGGCCTCTTCTCCCTCCTCATCTCGCTCCCAGAGACTCTGGGAGGTCCCACGGTCTTCTCCCGAGCAATTGTCCACGCGTGTTTCCTCCGCACCTTCGTTTGCCTCCGCTCGACGCCTTTGCGTGCCGTGGGGACCTCGTCCTGGTCTCCTGTTGCTGCGTCTGTTCCCCGAGAAGCTCTGCAGAAAGTCAGCGATACAAACGTCGGAATATACTGATCGCACACGTTGGCGAGGCTGGGAGATAGCGACTATCCTCGGTGAGCGATCGTAGCTTGCGACCCACCCTGCCTCCTGCCCCTACGTGACTGATTGCAACAGACAGTTCCGCGCATATTCCCGGAACAGCATATCACTGCGACTGAAGGAAAGGCGTGAACTTCGCGTACACCCATCACCCTACGGCACTTTGCATAGCTTGCGAGCACAACAATGGCAACAACACCTACTACTATCCGGCGGAAGCCTCTCCATACCTACAGATCACCCACGGTGCTCTCTCTCGCAGGCGAAGGGAACCAAGGTCAGCCAGCCACTGTTGAATACTCGAGCGCGCCGTGCCCAGCTGAAGCTGACGTGTCTGCAACAGCAGACGCGCCCCCGATGCCCACACAGCTCGTACAGCGCGAGGACACACAGGAATCCAGCACATTAAAAGCCATACCGGTCATCCAAGACGTCAAGCATAGTGCGGCGCGTGTAAAGGCGCGCAAAGTCGCTTCCCTCCCGCTCTACCACCCCCTCGGTCCTCTCGCGCTCTCCCTACCCGAACTCGACCCGACGACCTTCGGTCTGCCGAGCCGCATCGTTGTCGACGCTACCACCGAGCAGCCACACAACGACTCCGCACGGCGCTCCTCCTCCCGTGCGCGCAGGCCCGCCGCGAAGGTGCGCGAGCGCGAGGGCGCGGCCGACGACGACGAGCCGCCCTCGACGCCCTCTGCGCCCACGACACCCATGCCTGCCGCCGCCACCTCCCCCAGCGCA